TTTTCCTGTGTTGCAAGAAAAATATGCACATTCTTGAAATTACAAGCCCTGTTAATGAATAATAATAAATAATAATATAAATTATAAAATAATCTTTGATGCTGACACATCCGTCTCTACTCAGAATGGATTTAGATTTAGAGCGAAGCGCTGAATGTAGTATTGATTTTACAATGATGTGGATTTTTATTATTTTGTTTGTGTCTGTATACACGATAAATAATGGTCAAAATGATTTCATTTACTACTAGGGATGGTTTCTAGTAAAAAATTGTAACTAGTTGGGACTTTAATGACGTCAAAAAAAAAAAAAAAATAGATAGACATAACATGATAAGCAAAATTCCCAAAACTTTTCTTAATAATTGGAAAAAAAGAGATTAGGAAAATACAACAATTTTTACACGGAGACAGTTTTTGGAGAAATTGATTTTGTTCTTTTGATATAATCCAAAGACTCGGTCAAATTGTCAAATTCCGTTTATTCAAAGTTCTTCATTAGTTATTATAACTATTTAAAAATATTAAAGATCCATATTGTTACAATTTTTTTGTCAGCATTTGATTTAAAAAACCTAACCCAACCTACAAAACGTGTTAAAATCACGAAAATTTGCAAATAATTTTGTAGTTAAAAATTTAATGAAAACCATTCTTCATAAGTAGTATTAGTACTGGAACCAAAAATTAAATATTAATATTATAATACATGCAGTGGTTCGGAAAAAATTAAATCTACTGTCAACCTAACATGATACTTTTAGTAAAATAAATTACTAATGGCTACATTTTATACATTATAATCATAAATTCATAACATATAATATTATAATATCCTATATAGACATAAGACATAAGTACTATAATATGATAAAAATATACACTAGCTTAGTAATATCACAGAATAGATGAAATTGCATCTATTTTGTGGTAATATTGGCTACAGACTATCTCCACTCAGAATCATTTTGTGTATGCAATTATATATCATTGAATTCAAATTTAACAAAACCATATTACAAAAATAGTAACGCTTTTGACAACTGCTACATAGCAGAGTTTATAATTATAATGTTGGCTATCATGTCGTAACGCTCTACAGTTATTACGATTCTAGTACCTAATCGCTACAGCAATATTTAAACAATAGGCATTATCATATGAAGTAAAAGTGGATTGATGATGACATAAATAACACTTAAAGTTATCATAAATATTATGTAGAGTATAATAATAATTGTTATAAATAGGTAGTAAATTATTAAAAATTATTATATTATCAACTTCGCTATCATTGTAGTGTCGTTATTTATCACTTATTTATTTATTTATTAAGTATTAGGTATTATAATGATATTATTATAAATTGTATTTTTTTTAAATATAAAAAAATAGTTAAAATATTTGTGCAATGTCCCCTAAAAAGTCGTTAAATGTGTCCCTTCTTTTATTGGTTCTTCTGCACCACGTTACTTAGATACCTACCCTTAATAGTTTATTACGATTATAAATTTATAAAATTATAATATTATATTTTGGAAGCATATCAGGAGTTTTACCAGACATATTGTTTTCCAATTTTTAACCACAGAGTCGTCAGCAAACTTTCTATCCTTTGAGTATGTGAATTCAATATACCGATATACCAACAGTGCAATTGTGTGGTAGAGCGCATTATTGTTCCGTGTATATAATACTAGCTGACCCCGTGTACTCCATTGCCCATTAAAAATGCCTAATAAAACTTTGGTAAATTCGTTATTTAATATTTGGTGTTTATACCTTAAAATTCCGTAGGCCATCATTAATCTCAAAATACTTGTGCAAGTACCACATGAAAATATAAATTTGGGAAAATGATTTCTTAGTGCACACTTACATAGTAGTACGAATGAACATTAGAAATTGCAAGCCTCAAGTTATTATTGTTTAGGTTCTACTACAATTCTACTTAAATCAGTCAGCGAGTCAGTCAGGACAAATTCGATTATATTACCGGCGTTGCCCGTGAGACTAGCTTGTGATTATGCAGTATATTATCACTTATCAGATAGGCAATCCATACGTGATACGTACTAAGGGTACGTAAGCATATAATTTCTTACTCTACAGTTTCAAAGTTATACCAAGTTTGTCGATTTTAGTATATTACTTAATCTAACCTGGATTGGATACAATGTGCTATAATAGACTGATAAACGGAAAAAAAGTCCCCGGTAAAAATATCACCAGAAAAAACTACCCGTTAATAAAATCAAAATACATAATTGTACCAACATAAGTTGTTAATTTTTTTTTATTGCAACAAATTATTCGAGTAATTAGTAATTACTACTTTCACATAAGTTTTTCTCATAAAGGTTCAATAGTTCATAAAAAATAAAGTTAAGGTGGTACTCACTTACGTTTAGTTATGAAATAAATATTATAGGTATAAATAATTTTTTTACTTTAATTAATAAGTACCTGCAAAAAACTTGCTTTAAAAGCTTTTATGTATATAAAACACAAAGAATGAAAGCATGTTTGTTCGGTGAAAATGCGAGAAAAGCAGCTAATTTAAGTATCCAGATATTTTAAAATCAACATTAAACTGAAAAAAAGTCTTAAGTACTCATCACGACCACAACCGTGCATATTATCAAAGTATATGGGCAACTGCCTCACAAACAAAAACTAAAAAACTACAAACTATTCGAAATACATTTTTAAGAATGGCCTAAAAGACTCCGTGGTTCATGAGAAACAAACAAATACACAATAATACCGGCCAACCATACCTATCTACTTGGATAACACAACAATTTAAAAATGTCCAAGAAAAACTTCACAAAATTGATGGAGCACTCCACTACAACATTGGTAGAAGATCCGCCAATCTAAGTCTAAAACCATGGCTATCACAGAATGTCCTACTTGAACCCTTTTGATAATTCATAAGATATGTATTTTTTAATGTTACACATACCGGTGTAACATATAAATAATATAACACATAAAACGTAAAACGTAATTAGTGAATTAAGTGTTATTTAATATGTTTTCCCGGGATTCGTATAACCTGATTTCGCATTGGAAAAAATGATCAATTAATACAAAATATTAGGTATACAGGGTGATCCAACAAGTAGGCTCACCCCCTTTTTTCTTTAATAATGAAGTTTTTCAAAATCTGATTTTTGGAATCTTTAAATATACTCAAAGACCTTATTATCATATTCTTGAGATTTTTTGTACCACTTAAGGAGTGTCCTGTGGAGATACAAACTTTTGTTTTTCAAATGGAAACCCCACTTTTTTACTGTAAATTATTTAACGGATAATTTGTTTTGAGAATTTTCATGTACTGAAATCAAAATTTGAACGAGTAGTTTTCTAGTTATTACACATTTTGTGCTAAGGATAATATAGTTTATAGTGGGGAAGAAGGATATGCTTGTACAGTTTATGTTGTTATCTATAGTCAATACACATAATATAAAATAATACGTCATTTCATATTTATTTAGTCAAACATTTAGGTAAATAGCAAGTAAAATCCTTCTTGATTTATTTAGTTATTTTTCTTATTTCGTGTGTAGAACTGTATGAGCATATCCCTATTATGGACTATTATCCTTGGTATAAATTGTCCAATAACTAGGAAACCACACGTTCGAATTTTGATTTCGATACATCAAAATTCACAAAAAAAATATCTACTAAATAATTTACAGTAGAAAAGTGGGATTCCCATTTGAAAAAACAAAAGTTTGTATCGCCACAGGACACTCCTTAAGTGGTACAAAAAAATCTCAAGCATATGATAATATGGTCTTTGAGTATATTTAAAGATTCAAAAAATCAGATTTTGAAAAACTTCATTATTAAAGAAAAAAGGGGGTGAGCATACTTGTTGGATCATCCTGTATATTATACCTATATAAACGTTATATTGGTGTATCTCAGTTTTAGTGTAACCCAGTTCAGATTGTAATGCGCCAGAAACTTTCGTAGGAGCGTACTCAAACCACTATTCCCAAGTTTTATCACGATCGGACATTTTTTCGCCTTTTTATATTATAAAGAAGATAGCCACCATGCACTTCGTTGCAGCCAACAAATAACTCCACCATTTAAATGATTCAAACTTTGTGTTATTAGTTACTTAATAACCGATGTAGTGATGCTCAAAACTAAAAAAAAATATGACACGTTTGTAGTTTCAACCCGACACCACTGAATACGACGTAAGGCGTTAAATTCTTTACATTTTTGTTATTTTTTTCAGCTCCAAATTAATTTTTCCAAACAAATTATACACTCAACTCTCCCCTGAATCCTGAGATACCTATAATAGTGAAAATTGTACTAAAATCTGTTGAGTACTTTTTGACATTTTTGAGAACAAAGAAACAAACGCTGTCTCTTAAATAATACATAATATAGTAAGATTCCGTAATCGCTAAAACAGCGGCTCCCAGCATGTAGGTATACGAAGTAATTTTTTGAATAACGAATAGATCATAAATATTCGTTGATAAGTGATAAAAAAATTGTCAAGCGGTACGTGAACATTTTCCAAATTTTAGTATTAAAAATTAATTATAGGTATACCAATAAATATCGATTAATTACGGTAATAATTACATATAGGTACATTTTACACATACTTTTATGCTTTATTTACAAAGTCGAGAGTAGACTTCATCAGTCTAATAATTAACTGCGAGTAATTACGTTCATTAACTATTGTTTGATAGTTATTAAATTATTATTATTATTAGTAGTATTAGTATTTTTTGATCTATCGATTATTCGAAATATTTATATATGGTATATTTTTACCACAAGTAGCTACTACATTCAAACTTTTGTTTGATAATAATTTTTATTTTATTACCTTTTAAATATTGAATCTATTAAGTAAAACTTGTAAAAACGCCTCCTAATAATTATATTTACATTAACATCAAAATATTGTAGGAAACTTAAAACTTAATATTTTATTTTGGGGATTTAATTTTTACACAATTATACATAATATCATAATATAAAACAATCTATTATTTAAAAATAATTGATCAATCATTTTCATGTGGTTGTGAGTAATATTCTAGTCTAGAAATTTGTTTGGGGTTGTTTGTAGGGGGGTACAAGGGAGGTTACCACAAAGTATATTAAGGGGTATATTATATACCTAAATAGTACCTACTATTCTCATCTCTCATCTGGTACACACATGACAAACTCGAATAAAATAGTATAATACAATAGTGTAACTGTGAAAGTGTAAGAGCAAGTTTAAACATCTAATAAGTACATTTAAGTTTATAGGTATTATTATTTGTTATTGTGTAACAACAAGAGAAACAAACAAATAGTGGGTCGAGGGACGTTCGTTCACCTCAGTCACTCGCAAATCACATCACACGTAAACACTACTCACACAAACGCACGCAACATTATTCCTCCTTCATCTGTTCTACCCCGTGTACGTGTATGACGCATGTGTGTATTCACAATACGAGACATGTCGTTACAGGTTCACGACAAGACCTTGGTCTGCATGACTCATCCTCTTTTAACTTGGTCCAGTGCTCCAGAGTATACTGTACCGGCATTACATCAGCATTCACCATTGAGTCGCGGCCGTTAAACGATAAAAAACGTACGAGTTTTTGAAAACTATACCGGGAAGATTTAGATTTGACTTGAGCATTAAGCGGGTCTAAAAATCTAAAAATTATATTCAACACGACTGACACAGTGACACACCGATTTACGTTCACCCGTCACCCAGATACTGTATCTATATGGTAAGAAAAATTAATTTCTGTGCTCAAGAATAGGGTTTGCGAGAAATCACATGTATAAGATTGCATTGAAAATTCGATTTCAATGAACCGTCGAGAATACATTTAATTAGAAAATATTATCTAGACTAATTAAATGTAAATAATAATTTTCTAATAAAAACATAAGCATTTCGTTTTAAATCAGTCCATTATTTACGACAATACAATTAAACGCGATTGAAGTTATAATTTAATAATGTATGGTGTTTGTTTTGTCTTAAAGATCATACGGATATTAATAGAAATCAATTTAAACATGGCACACATTTCAACTGGATTGATAAGTTCACTAATAGTTTTTATACTGGTAAGTATTTAAATATAATATGCTGCATATACGTATAGTGTATAGTACTATTATTACTTATTAGTTATTACAGTTACATATGTCTATATTAACCATAAATGTTTCGTTTTTTTATATTAAATGTTAGTTTAAAGATATTTTGGATTGCATTATTGAAACCTGTTCTGGTTATTTTATTATGGCCTATATGATAGGGGTGTGCAGTGTGTAGGTAAATCGTAAATTGTAAATTGAATAAATCATATAATATAGTACACGGTATAAATAATCTACATTTGAACCATGTTTAATTAAAATATATACCAGGACATAGAATATAAATTATTTAAACACTTCTATAACCTTTTGACTACTGGTGTTGTGGTGCACCAAATACAACCACCTCTTATTCACTGCATATAGAATTTATCAATCTATTTATCCAATATTAATTTATTGGCTGAATATTAACTGCTATAATAATCAAGTACTAATTTATATTTGTAGATAATGCAAGAAAATGTTTCTCGAAGAATACCAGAAGGAGTTATTAATACAAATAATGATTTTGAATGTCTTACAGACAATGACTGTTTTGACAAAAATAGTTATTGTGATATTAGTTTAAATTTATGCTCTCAATGTATGAATTGTAGCATATATTTTAGAACAACTAAAACAAGTATTAAGTGTCCAAAAGATATATCAGATTGCAGTTCTTGTTTTGATGGGTAAATATTAAATTTAAATATCATTTTTTATTTACTAAAAACTGATTCTTGTTACAAACTAAAAATAAATTGTCTATAATAGCTATTTTGAAGAAATATTTTTTGGAGGAGAAATTCATGATTTATGCGTTCCAAAACTTTCAATAAATTCTAACATTTTATTACCAACACCGGGTATTTTTTTTTTTAATACTTATCTACTGATATAATATCAGTTAAAATTATTTTAATTTACTTGTTTTGTTTTCAGAAAAAATTAGTTCAAATTCACATTGGCAAGATATTGGAATTTTTTTTTTCATAATAAATATTTTTTTAATATTTTTAATGTGGACCTATTTTTATAAAAGTAAGCATAACCATGTTTATAATAGTAAAAATATAATAAGTATAAAATAAACTTTATAATCATGTTTTATGCAGGAGTTTGGAATATAAATTCAAGTAGCATGACTGATTCTATACAAGATAATATGGAGAACCTACCACCACCATACGAAAGTTGTATGAAATTGAATAACTATGTTACAGGTATTAATCATTTATTATTAAGAGTACACAATATTATACCTGCATATGTTGTCTCTGTCTAATTTTACGTTCAAAATAATTAACTTTAAAGTTGGACTGAATTTACCTATTATACAATTTAAAAGTAAGATAAACTATCTAGGGCATCTCAACAAGTATGAGAATTTTAAACTATACCAACAAAGTTTTTATAAATTTAATAATTTTCATAACTTAATTCAAAATTGAAATATCAAAACAAGCCTATATGAAGCTATAAATATTAATCTGACTTTACAATTTTATAATAGGTTAGCTCATTTTAGTTTTAAAAATAACAGAGTAAAATTAGTTATTGTGAACGTAAAATTTGGTATGTTGTATATATGTAAAGCCACAATCCTGACCAAGAAACATTTTTCAAAAACATGTTTCTGACATTCTCGTCTACAAATATTTATGTTACCTCTTATGACGGGAAATCGGAAATATTGCCTAACACAAATTGTTCTATGGTCTGGAAGGAGCTTTAAGTTAATATTTAAGAACAAATATATATGCTATAGATGATGTCCAAGAGTTTCATTTGTTTACTGGTGAACAGCCACCAAGAAACGAATGGAGACACCAGAATGCAGTACCATTTCGTTTACCCGATGATTCACTAGAGTAAGCAAAACGATACTATACATTTTAATTCTAGATATTATTCAATTATTAGTAATCAAAATATTATTATATATTAGGAATATTAATTGTATGGATGAAACTGATAATCTTGAAGAAGTAGATGGAGCTGTTGTTATTAGAGGTAATTAAAAAAATTCTAAATTAATTTTAGTATTTTAGATACTTATATACATTAATAATTTGTTTTAGAAATTGAAGATCCAGAACTACAGGATGAGGAAACAATGCAAAGTGTTTGGTCTCCCCCACCACCACTACCTTCAATATCAGAGATGTAAGTTGACAGAAATACATGGGTAGTTAATTAATGATAAATTAAAATTCTTTATAATTTGTTATTTTAGAATGCATTTGGAGAATAATGATAATGATGAACAAACTTGTCAACCTCCATTGAAACGCATAAGACTTGTTCAACAATCAATTGATGAAAAAAGTTATCAAGATGAAGATAATGCATCAGACATGTCTCAAGACGAATAATTATAAGTTAACTATTAGATGTAGGTACGAGGTTAAATCTGAAAACTAGTATATAAGTTCAAGTACGTTTTAAATTGTAAAAGTAAATTAAATTTTCTCATTAAGTATTTAACTACAATTTTTAAATATAGGTGTGTACTTCTTAGTTTTTTACTTAGTACTTATATTATTTTTATTTGATAATTTTCAATTGTAATATTGTAAATAATTACTAATTATTTAAATACAATTTTTCAAAAAAGACTTGTATAACTTGAGAAGTCTGATTAAATGATTTTACGATAAATATATTATATAAATCTACCACACATTATGTGTAAATTTATTATTAAAGAATATACATACATTATACTACTAATGAATATTTATTTAATGAAAAAACATGTTTTAAATAAACTAAATTTTAGTTTGAAAATAAGTAGCTAAGTTATTGAAAATCATATAAAATTTATAATATTTTATTTATTTTCAGAGTAAATAATACCTATGTTAAAAATATTATACAATAAGACAAACGGGTAATGATTTTATGTTAATTACTTTAAAATTAATATTGTCTATACAAAATTCTTAACTGGTATTTTTCAGATATTCCAATTATAAATATATTTAATAATATGATTCTCAGTGCAATTACCTATTCCTCGTTATGCAGCAGTTGCTCGTTGTTTAACAATTCATTGACCTCTTGTCTAGCTTTGACTCTTTGATCAACTGGTACGAATAAAATTTCGTAGGATCTTAAAAAAAATATTCCAGTGGATATCACCGTTAATCCAATGGCAACACTCACAACACTTTTGTGCACTTTATTCAATACTCCATTCATAAATCTTGACATACTCTTAAATTATTAGAAAATAAAATTTACGTAACTAGAAAAACTATTGTTTAGTTATTTGGTGAATAATTAAATATCAACACTCAAAGACAACTCAAGACAATTAATATTATATTATAATAAAAATAAATAATAAAACACGCGAATGTCAGAAGTATGATAGTGTTCACTGTTCATCACTGTATGGTCACTGGTCAGTCGTTGATACTATAAGTAAAATGTAAATAGTAATTACAGGATAAAAGATAAGACATAATATAATACAATTACTTTTATATTATCATGGTATAAAGGCTATTATTCTGTTTCACCACATTGTCCATCGTTACCAAATTCCGAATAGACAGTATCATGGTTAACGCGTTACCACAATATACCAAATAATTAAAAATATTGAATAAACTATTTCACAGCCCACAGGAAGTAGTAAATATGGTTTTACCCATGGCTAAATAGCCATCATTTAGCCATGGTTTTACCAATCGATATTATTTAATAATTTGGTGAACCCGACCCCACGGCTTACATGGGCAAGGGATGCCTAATGAATTATCAAAATACAAACTTCAGTGGTTGTATACTTGTATAATATACCTAAACAATGATTATAAGCCCTTAAAAACGTCTTCACTTTAACGTTATTATTACTCTATGCTTCACCCACAGATATTTAGAATTATATAGGTATCTTTTTATTTTATATATATCTGTGTCTTCACCATATTATTATTATTATTATTATTTAACAAAATATTGATGTTGGCAACAAAAGATAAGATTTTATTTTTGGTATGATGTTAGTAACAAGTAATAACAAAATTTTGACAACTGTTGCGCAGGAATATTTTAACAAAAAATTGAAATATTTAACAAAATCATTAAGAACTTAAATTGGTAATACTGAAATTGATTGATTCTGCATTTCTGCAGGCAGCTAAGCTGTAAGCAATTTTTTACTTTATTAATTTCGGTAAATTAATTATTGACAACTAACTGTACCAACCACCAGTTATTACTTTTAACAAAACGTACGAACGTATACACCTCTCGATTTTGTTTTGTGCGTTTTAGGTAATTTTATTTGGTATTGTAGTGCGTTTATATCGAGAAATGTGTACTTATATAAAAGGTTTTTGAAGCAAAAAATAAGTGCGCACTTAAGCCCTTCCCAAGTATAAGTAAGTAGGTATAGCTTATCATCCATCTTTTGAGAAAATATTTTTTTTTCTTTTAATTTTGTTATCTGAACTTTTATTTAGTGTCTCCAATTACGGCTTGGGAAAAACTTCAACAGAATCTTCACGGGGAAGACTTTCAACAGATTTATAACGATCATTTTCCAATTGAAGTGCGGCAGTTGTTATCCCCGTGGTTTGAAACTAAAGCTTGGTATGATATTTATGATATTTTTTTAATCCTACTCATATGTTATTTGTAATAAGTTCCATATTTTATGAACATTATGTCAAAATCAATAATCAACATAAATTAATTGAAAAGACTGAATTTTCCAACATTAATGTTACATTCGTACATTTTAATTTCATTTTGCTTTCAATAATTTGAATAAACAACATATTTATGTTATTAAACCTTATATTTTAATAATTTTTCTAAAACAAGACAATTGTTTTTAGGTAAATTCGTGCATTGATATTCTTAAATCATATTTGAGTTTCAAGATTTTTTAAATATTTAAATATTACCTACAAGTATAATATTAATTAAATTACAATATATAGGCATCTTATTTAATAGTATTATACTAAATATTTAAATACCTTGGACTATAATATTTATTAGAGTATTCCAAAAGTGGTTTAAATCAATAACTTATCGTATAATATTTGTTAACAACTGTTTTATCATAAATTGAAACAATTTTGTTATTGTAAATTTTAGAGTTAACATACTAATTAACTTTTTGAATTTTTATATTTTAAATATTTATTCAGTTGTCCTGTTCATTCAACTATGAATAAAGTATAAACTACCTCAGTAAGTATTTGGACTGGTTTTAGGCCACTGTCTTTTTATTAAAATACCCATTATATGTTTATGACCGAAATAACATACAACATACCCTAAAAACTCAAAAAAATCTACTCACATAAGTAAAACAAATTGAATTTAAAAATAATAGTTATTGGAGATGGGTGTCAGAGTAATTTAAAATAAAAAATATGTTCATATAACGAAAACCCACTTGTTTAGAATTTTTAGCAAAGTTATAATTTTATGGGATCAAGGAATTCAAATTCAAATACAAATCATCATCATCCTATCTCTTATCATCAATTATGCTCTAAATAATTTAAAATTAAGAAATATGCTTTTAAAATCACTGAATATACACAATTATGCCCTACCTATAAACTATAAACTTTAAATATTTTCTTGTAGTGTCATGAAAATTATTTCAAGCTTACTTCTCAACAGTCAAAAAAAATCTACCCCCCCCCCCCCCCCAAAAAAAAAAAAAATGCAAATGCAACAACTTCCAACCCTCAGTTGTTATTACTTAGGAGACCAGTTCTCTCTAAATTGATTATGACGGAATAGTTCTCATCCAACTTAAGGTCATAAATTAGCCTTTTATAATAGCTATTACATTTGTACTGAGTCTGACCAATAAATTCTGACCATACATTTAATTGAATCACTAAGTTTTGAAACATTTTATAACTGTTAATTCTACACTCTTTGTTTTTATAAAATTATTATTTAGATATTAAATAGTTTTTATATTTTTTTTTATTTGTTCTTTTTTGCAATTTAAAAATAAGTATGATTTAATAATAATAATTTTAAATAATAAACTTTTTTTATCTAAAAAACAGTAATTTTTATTTCAATATTTGTATTTTAGTAATTAGTAATTATAAAGGGCCTGGTGTTGCTTGGTGGTAGGCCTCAGTTACTAACTTGTTCTGAGGTCAAGCATTGGCTGGCACCAATAGTTCCTGAATGGGTGACCATCTGGGTTTTTAGTGACAAATCTTCGCCCCTCTTACATGTATTCCTCAACCAACTGTTACCCCCCACCTCTTACAAAATTCTAATGACCATAGTTACTGTCTGCTGATGCTAGACCATTTTGATTTATTAATTGATAAATGTAAAATTTAATATAAAATAAAAACTACTGAATCTCAATTTATTATTTATTATTGATAAAATACTAAATGCTTCTGGAAATTTAAAAAAAAATGTATTCATTTTTGAAAATTCTATTTTTTTTTTTGAATTCCTATAAAGTATTTAAGTAATCAAAAAACAAAAAAATAACTAATACTTTATTTTTGTCACAAAATAGAATTAATAATTTTTTTAATGAAATCAGAATTATTGACTATAAAATATTATATTAGTATGTATCATGTTTCATTTTTATCATCAATAATTAGAGAGATACCAAACTATTTCCGTGAATCAATACAACATATGGCATGATTGGTGTATTACACAATCAACTCTATAATCTTGTATTCTACCTAAATTGGAAATAAAAAAACCTCAAATGTTACACAAGCTTCTAATGAGAACATGGAAATTAATAATTAGATTTATTGATAAAAAAGTAAATTAATTTTTTAAGTAGATGGATTACTTGATTTTCAAATAAAGTTATTGATAGTAATAATAATTGTATCATTAAATTTGAAATACTGGTAGAGTCATAATTATTCTACTAATTACAAATGGCCTCGCAAATGGTTTTTGGAATAATATTATGTACTTATGTCCTATGTACCTATTCCATAATTTATAATTATGGCTATTATTATCCAGCTAAGAATGATGTATTTATTCAATTCAAATTCAAAATTCTTAAGAGCACTTTAGTTAAGCCACTTTAATTCTTGTATCCAAAACTTCTTTCAGCATTGTTTTATTTTAATTGTTATCATATTCAGACATTCAGTATTATCAATATAGTTAATTATTAGGATAGGACTAATGACGAGTATAATACAAATATTTATTATATTTTTTTTTTTTACTTCTGCATGTGTGTGACTTGCGACAATTATCCATAATGCTAGTATGAAATTACTATTTCCTGGGACCATCAAATTATGCTATGATAAATCAATCAGATAAGATTTAATATACTAATACTAATCTATTTAAACTGTGTTTTTTAATGAATAGCATACTAGTTACTAGTTAAATAATATTATTGTACAGAAGCTGTCATTTTGATTTGTCATTCTTATGTAACAATATAAATATTTAATAAATTATGTGAAGTATTATTGGTATAAATTGTTTAACTATTTAACTTAATCCAGTTTATATTTTTCAAATGTTGAAATATTGATAAAATTAATTTGATTTTTTAGGACTGAAATCGATCCAGATAATTTAGAGCATGAAGGTTATATTAAAGGTTTATTTGTGTCTTTTGTGGATGAAATAGTATCTAAGGCTAATTCTATGGTAACTAATGAACAGTTTGTCAGTAAACTAAAACTAATTGATACAGCTAAATTATATAAAGTGAGTATTTAAATAATAATTATTCAATATTGTAGGACGAGTTAAATAAATAAAACAAATACCCAGTTATTAAGAACCAAACAATATTGAATTTTGATACAAATGTATTTGAATTAAACTTAATTTCTAAAAATTATATTTGTATTAATTTGTATTATTTTTACAGGAGAAGTACTCTCAAAATCCAAAAGAGTTGATAAGAATTATTAAAAAGTGTTTGGAATCAGAATCCTTAATGGCTCAACAAAATAATGTGTGTATACTATAATGTTTATACTTCTAATTTCCAATATTTTTTTTGTAACAAGCTGGATGGTAACTAATGATTTAGTTAGAACCTTTTGAGTTTTGTATGGGCGATATACATATATCTATACTATGCAAACTTTTATCACTTTCTCTAGGAAATCTGAACAAAATATAATCCCTTATTGATGTGCGTATCCTCAAAGTAAAAAGTATTTAGTTTTAATAATACAAGGTTCTTTAAATAACTTAAGGAGCAAATTAAGCATGTATGAATAGTTGCTTCTCAGAGAGTACATTAGGAAAAAATTATAAATGAGTGATAGCATCTCATTTTGAATACTCTGTTTAGTGATAACTTAATAAATACATACTGTCTAAATAAGAGCTTATAATACATTTGTTGGTTTATAAGATAAAACCCTATAAAAAAAGAAAAAATATATTGTGTGATAAAAATATATATTATGTATAAATCAATGCTAGTCCCTAGCTGACATTTTTAATAATATATATAATCATACTTCATTGATAATTAAAAGATTCACTAATATTTCTTATTGAAAAAAATAAGCATAATTTAAAATTAAATTTTATGAACATACATTTTAATATGCGTAAACGTTATTTTGGTTAAGAACCTGGGGGGCTAGAAATATCAACTAACACATACTAACATAATGTAGTATTCTTTCAAGATCAAGTTAGAAAATACTCTTTGAAATCCAGAGGTTTTTTTGGGGGGGGG